AATAAGTCAAATATCTTATTGTTCTAAAAGGAGAATTTATCATGTATTGTTTTTGAAATTTCACTCAGAAAAAGAAAACTTCTAAGCTAGAAATTAGGATTCACCTAATTGGAGTAATAATTCATAAATTATTAATTTTTTTCAAGAATAACTAGTATTGTTTTTTAAGAATCAAATTTAAGTACTAATTAGTTTATATATATATTTATTGAGTAAAATTAACATAAATTCACAAGTTTATTATGAAATATAAGATTAAAAGATTTCTATAACGTATTTCAAAGCCTGAAAAAATTAAAAAGTCTTTGTGTATTTCATATTTTTCTTACCTAAATCAGTAATGTATGGTAAGGATTACTAGTAGAATTTAATTAAATGACAATAGATCATCTAGATATCTAAGAATTGTGTTACAAATAATAGAAACCTAATTTAGTTTTAATAATCACTAAAGTTTCCCTGTTAAATTAAGGTTAAAATATAGTTATACTTTTGTTTTTATCAATGAATATTAGCTTATTTAACATAATTAAACTAATCTATACAAGTAGCTTTTGCAAAACTGAGATTGGAAGGGCATCAAAGGACATAGGAAAATATAGATGAAATATAATAATCATGGTCATTCATAACTTTATAATTATGTTTTTATATATTCTTAATGATTCTTTAGCTTCATCTAAAAACCCTAATTCGAATAGTCAATCAGCTTATAATAATAATAAATTATTACCTAAAAGTTTTAATCTAAAGGTGTCATTAGAAATAAAAAGTGCTTTTTTAAAACATATGATTGCATCTTAATATTGTTTTAACTAAGAAGAAATTGAGGGATTGCAGTTGTAGATTGAATAAATCGAAGTTAAGAATTTAGAATAGAAATAGTTATATTAAGAGCAATTTGAGAAAAAGTTTACACTATAGTTTCTTAATACCTTTTTAATTTCTTTAATGCAGAACCTTAATAATTATATTTGAAAGTTCATTACATTTGTTGTTCCATGCAGCATCAAAATTAGGATTTATGGAAAGAGCTATGTCGCAACACTCGATGGCTTCTTAATATTTATCTAAATTGCTTAATGCAGAACCTTGTTAAAATATTTAAAAGTTAATTACACTTATTGTTCCATGCAGCATCCATATTAGGATTTATAGAAAGAGCTTAATCATGACACCCAATAGCTTTTATTCAAATTTATTAATGCAAAACCTAATTTAGATCTCAAATAACGAATCCTGAGAATAGAAGAAATCTAGTATAATCAAATGAAATTGATAGACTGAGCAATATTGTTAGAGGAAAGCAATAATAATCAAATTTCAAAATATTATGGATATTAGAATGAATCCAGTGATGAATGTTGAGAAATCTGTTAGCTAGAATGCTAATAATGTATGTATTCTAAATGCTACCTATGTGAAAATAGATCGCAACTGAGAGATGATAATTGTTCTTAATTAGCTGAAGATGAATAAGTTCTATAGAATAATGTGATGATATAAATTATGAATCAAATGATGTGTGCTTTTTCAATATCGACCTAAACTCCCTCTTTCTTGTTTGATTTATGTAGATATATCTACTTGAATGATTTATGAAGTCAATTTTTAAATAGTAGATACAATTTGTAGTGGTGATGAAATCATCATTACTTGAATATCAACCATGTTGTTTGAATGCTAAGTGATGGAATTCTTTAAAATATAGAATTATGGTAATTTTGACAAACTATATGGGTAATTAGTGAAACATAGAAGATAAATGGGATTGTGTTATATTATTATTTTTCAAAGCAGATGTGTTATCCTATTCTAACCTAACTATCTCTATCATTATAAATCATACAAATCCATATCAATATGTATAATTATCATTTACAAATTATATAAAATGGAATGGCCAATATTTATTTCATTCTAGAACTAAACTTACAATTTAATAATTTGATTCTTTTAAAGAAGTATAATCATTAGATTTTGTATTTATCGTAATTACGGTAAAAGAATTAGGATTAACACAACATCTAATTTATTTGCCATTCAATTTTGTAACTCAAACGATTGAGTCTATTCTATTAATTGTTTTTGTGGATGCAACTTTAGTAGTTGAAAATAATTTTATGGTTGAGGGCATAGCAATTGTTTAAAGCTTCAGGTTTGTTCTGTTTAAAATGGCGATTATTCAGCTACAGTCCATAAATTCTATAACTTTGGTTATTGATTAATAATCTGCCTAGCGATACGCAGCGTTTTATTGATAACTTTTGGTGAATTATGGTATTGAATATTTATAAGGTCAATTAAATTTAGGATATAAAATAAGTATTATAGTCTAAATTTTTTTATAATTTCGATTATATGTAAAATATTCTGAGAACCTTGAAATTTACTTTCAATCTTCAGAATAGTATAGAAAAAATTACAATAAGCCTGTTAAATAAGTGAGCATAAAAAGAAACAAATAACTAAAATAAAAATTAAAAAAGTGCTTTTATATTCAATACTTTAATACCTTCAGTAATTTTAAATCATCAAATGAATATCATTTAACTTTAAAATAATAATATCATTAATATGTCATCCTTACATAGGGTATCAACTTATATAGAACTTAAAAACAATTGATTTCTATTTGATATTGACTAGCGACAGAATTATACCAACTATGTATCTATATTAAAGCTAATTAAAGTTTTAGTCTATTAATGTGTCGAAACGTAATTAAAATTTCTGGGAAAATATATTTATATGTTAGAACTTAATGCATTTCTTGTTTTCATATGTTCCTATGACATTAAAAATTGCAAAGTCACAATAACAAAGAAAATATTATTTTTTATAAACAATTGTGAGGAAGGTTGAGAATTTAGAATTTTAGTCTGCTTTTATCCAACTATTTATTGTTTAAGTCGGAAAATGTGTAGTTGTGTGAGAGTTCACCTCACTGATTCCTGTCTTGCCTTACTTATGTAAGAACTATATCACAATTTAAGGATCGAAGAGTCTTTGTTTTTAGGTGCTTCTGGAATGTGATGTGATTTTTTAGAAATGAGGCCAATAAATTAACTTGAGAACGGCCACCTGCTCATTGCTAGATTAATAAATGAATAATCAAGGTAGGCTGGGATATCTTCAAAACGAAAATACTAGTGGGATGATGCTAGTCCCAGTTCTTAATGATCTCTTTTTAAGTATCATTAGTTTAAAAACGGAATGTTCAAAATTCCATTACTTTCTATAAAGATTAAATTATAAAAATGTTTTGATAAATCAATTTTTGTTTTTTTTGCTTCAGGAGTAATACTTTTTTATGGTATTGCACATTTAAAGAAATCAATATCTTAAGATTATAATTCTAATTTCTTTTGATCGCAATATAAATTTAAGATCACCTCACTAGAGGAAAAGAATTTTCAATTAGTAATACCTGTTTCTTACAATAATTGAGAAGAGGACATGAATGACTTTATTTTCAAAATGTTATTCACTGAAGGCTCACAACTTAGAGAAGGGGAATTGTTGGGCAAGCTTTTTACAAGAGAATCTTGAACTGCTGGGTTGATAAGTAGGAAAAGGATATCGACGAAATGAATATCCTAAGTTTTATGAAGTATAAACAGATATGATGCAAATATGATTATCAGTTCTCAGACAGATAATCAAAAGTTATCAGAATTTAGGAGTAGAGATAATAGTTCTTGACTCTTTAGACAAGTTACATTAACTCTATTTGTACATACACAACAACAGCACTTGCACATCCACTATGAAAATGTGAAAGACATAAAGGTTATCCATTATAATCTAATTGGACGATGTGGTAAAAGAAAGATCCTTCAAATAGCAGATAAGGGGGAATTTTAAACAAAGTCCTCTATAGGATTCGAAACAAATGTGAGATTAGATGAGGATATTTATGGGATAGTGAAGGGTGAAGCTGTTAAATGGCATTTGCTGGGTAAAAGTTAACCATTATCATTTTCGATTTTTAGTCTGTAATGTAAAAGAAACTGTGATTGAAGTGTAAACCTGTATGGTCACCAAGAAGAGCCAGACTCTAGGTGAATGATCAAAATGGAGCTTTTTCTGAAGAAAAGAGGCGAAAAAAGGGATGCCTGGATTTTTGGAGCTTCTTTCTGTTGGTTCTTTTCATCACAGGAAAATCTATCCTTTAGAATTATGAATGAGGAAATCATTAAAATTATTGCGAATGGTTAAAGGAATTTATTAAAAGTTATTATACTTTAACTGAGTAAATACTTAAATGTAAGGGATGAGAGCTTGTTAAAAGATTTAGGAGAAAATTGTGGATTCTTATGATTTGTATTCATGGACTAAGATTTGGAGACTTATCTTGTTAGAGAAAGTTAAAATAAAATTTTGAAGTTTTTCAAATGAAATCTAAGATACATTTAAAGTATAAAGTATTATTATTACTTAAATTGCACATAAAACTTAAACATCTTTTTTCAGTTCGTTTATGAAATGAAATTAATATTACATACATGCAGAGTTTCTTTTTATTTACTATTGCTGAATAAAATTAAATCATAACAAAAACCAAACTTAGTAAGAATATTTGGATTTCTCATACTTAAAATAGAAGTTGCTATCATTCTAAATTCTAAAGTGTTTTTGATCAACTATTTTGAATGTAAAAAAATATTGGTCGACAAAATATTGAAAAAAAATTTATTTTGAATAACTTAAGAAAAATCCAATATTATAATTAAATTTATATTTGGTTAGTGTATTGAAAATGCAAGTAAGACTTTTGGAATGAATAATTAAATTCAAAATTTATCGTTTATATTTTCAAAGAGAATAAGTTTATAAGCAATAAGAATATGGTAATGAATAAAGAAAAATGATTAATAAAATAATATCAAGATGCATATTTATGATGTAAATGTTAATAAGTGGTTTTGGATTAAGGCTACAGGAGAGTTATTGGATTAGCTGATTGAGGGGATTAATGTAGGGAAATTAGCTCATTGTGTGAGGAATTAGAAAATGGTAAGAAAGTTGATAGAAAAGCTATTTTTAGTTCACTTTGAATAAAAATTAAATCCTAAAGTAAATACTTTGATTTGATTTTATTGTAATCTCATTGAAGAAATTTCATCAAATAAGTTGTTTAGTAGTGTAAATCACCAAATGTAAGGGATGAAAACAATCATATTTTCTGATTGATTAGATTAAGAATCCACTTTTAGGAGCTCTAAGTCTTAGAAATATGGTCTGATAAAGAGGAAAAATTGAAATATTAGTCAAATATAGAAATTTATATATAATTATTTAGAATTGATGATTAGTCCTAAATTTCTGTCTTTTATAACATTCAATGATCATTTTATTATTCTCTTTTAGATTTATTTGAACAGTGATTTTCACTATAATTTAAATTGAAAAAAGATTCTATTAATTAAATATTTTTAATTTAAAACAAAGGAGATAGTATTAAATATTTATATATAATGTTTACCATTTCATAATAAATTATTATTTCATACTAAAAAGTGGAATAATAATTATTTTTCTTAATAGCACAAAAATAATGAAGGAAAGAAGAATTAATATTGAAGCTAATGAATATTAAATCAAATTGAATTAGAACTTGAATTTAATATTATTGTATTCTTTTCGAGAGCATAAAAGGTGCTAAGAATAGAAGGCTCTGGTAATTATTTTATATTGAAAATCGAATAAAATATGTATTTTTAAGGGCAATAGTTTTTATGGATTTTTTTAATATTAATTTTGTTTGTTATTTTGATTTAACTTGTAAATGTAGCATAATTTGATAACTAACTTAAAAGCATTTTTAATAATGATTATTATTTGTTTTGTATTGAGTAATTTCTGATACAAATTCGTTTCATTTGGGAAAGATGATTTAGGATACTCTTTATATAAACTGAAACAAAAATTTTTAGAATGTTTGATTAAATTTGAAGAAATATTAATAAATAATAAAATATAATTTGTATTTATAAATTATAATTGTTCTGTGTATTTCCTAATTTATATTTCTTTTGATGTTTGATCCCAAGTTATCAAATAGTCTCCATCATCACTTAATGACCCAAATATACTGTTTGTTTTAAATTAAATAGATTACTCAAGTTTAAATTGTCCATTTTGTGTCATTCTTATAACATTGACATATTCACCATGCTTATTCAATAATAATTATTTTGATTTAATATATTATTATGGAAAGAATACATTAGCATCTCTACCTTGATTAACAATTATATCTTTAGTTTTTGTGAATTATTTACTTAAACTATTCATCTCATAGACATGCATTGAATTACCCTGTTTAGGTTAAAATGTGAATATTTCTTTGTTGATAAAGCATAATCGAATCCAAAAAAATCAACATTAATTTTTTAAATTACAATCCAATTTTTATTTTATTCTGAATACTCAATTATTAAGATTAATTTTGATATCCACAAGAAATAACTTAATTTTATTAGTCAAGGAAACTTAATGAACAAACAAAATTTTGATGATCTTTGAGTGTTTATGAACAGATCCATTCAATTTGCTTTACCCTAAACTGAATAGTCTTATCATAACTGCCTGATATAAACAGATCTTCATTATTATTCACAATTAAACAAGTAATACTATAATTGTGTCCTTTAATTGTTTATGAGCAAACCCATGAATTTTTGTTATTAATTGACCAAATTGAAATATTGCCATTATCATCTCCAGATTTGATTAGATTTTGAACTAATTAAAGGTGTCAATTCTTAAAGAATGATTGATTAAAATTTAGATTAATTAATAATATACAGTTGATTTATTTTTGGTAGTGATTATTGTAATTTAACAGTATTAATTGTTTTAATTGGGTTATCAAAAATGAATATCTAATCAATCAAATTATTTACTCTATCAAATGATTATTAAAATAATGATCATATGTACAACAAATTCTTTCTCCATTTCTTTCATTTAACATTCTATTTTACTTTATAACTCTTATTCAATATACATTCTCTAATTATTAAAATTATTATTATCAATATATATATATTTTATTTGATGTTTTATTGCCAAAATAATTATACATAAAAGTTAATCTAGACTTTTAAATGATAATTATTTTGTATGTCAAAATATTAAATTAATATTTGAGAGGAAGAGATATAAGTGCAAAATGTTAAATATTTTAAGTGTTATTTGATCTCTCATAAAATGGGTCTTAATTCATTCATTAAGTGATGAGGATGTTAGACATAAATGGATAAATTGAATATTCTTATTACTTATCAAAGAGCTTATGTATAATAATTAGGATTTATAGAGCAGTAGGAAAAATAATGTAAAGTGAAAGATGAGGAAAATGAAGGTTTATCTATCTTAATCTTAGAAAGCTCAATACTTGGTCGATAGATCTGACATATTTAAGAAACTATGATTTTAGTTATAGTCTAGCGTGATAGGCATAGAAAACAACCTTGAATAAAATGGAAAAACACTAATAACAGCAAAAAAATTTGCAGAAACTTTATTGTTTTAATTTTTGATGTGTTAGAAGTCATCTTTAGAGAAAGGAATATTTGAATATTTTTTCAACTCCTATCTTAAAAGACTTGTTAAGATGGTGATGTTTTTTATTCACCGTCTTGAATTCTAAAGCCTTGGATACGCTATATGGGATGATAAGCCGCTAGATAGATGTAGATGGAGAATTATAATCCTTTAATTAGCCCATCAGAATTAAGTGTTCGTACTAAAATTAGAAAATTTGAATTCTATTCCATTAATAATCCATGATAGTAAATATGCTAATATTCATAGAGTATCTGGTTAAATAGATGATTCCTTTATAAATGCAAATTAAAGTTTCAAAACAAGATCAGGATTTTAAATTTACATATTCATCTCTATTGAAAGAAACATGAAACCAGTTATCATAGTCCAATGAATAACTTAATCTTAACTAAGATTGCAAATCTACAAGAAAAGATGAGAAAAGTCTATAAAGAGTTTAATATATCATAATCCTCACCACTCCAATATTTCCCTAAATAATTTTAAGTGACAACCAAGACATTTGAGTATTCAAAAATTTACGAAGGTTTAAGTGAATTTTTAACTACGACATGAATCAGAAAAGAAATAGAATCTCTTCTAACTTCATTAAACAAAGTTTATTTTGTTATTCGGTTATAACAATACCTAAAATTAAAAAATCCTTCAAGGAGAGAAGTTCAAGAAATAAATCTAAGATTTGAATTTGTCAGTCTAAGTCAACATAAGAATTTGTAGATGTCTAAAAAAAGGCTAATTTATCACATAGAAACAAGAAACTAGGCTAACTCCATAGAAGCAATCAATATATTATTTGATGTATGAGTAGATTTGTTCAATAAATTAAAATAAGGATGGATTTCAAAATTCCCACAACAAATGTTGATTAATGATACAAAACACTTTCATTTTAGTAACTTTAGGTCCAATTCAAGATATTTATGTATATTTTCTCTAACTTATTGACACTTGAAAAATGATTGAACTATTTTTTTGTAAATTATTCCTTATTTTACCTTATTTTAGGATTATTCAATCTACTTAATAAGTTTAAAAAGGATATTAATCTTAAACAAACCCAATTGTAATATGAGTATATCCTAATGCATATTTCTTCGAAATATCGTTCTCTGGAAAATGAAAATTTTGAAATTCAATAAAATGAACTTAAATCTTTGGCGGGGTCAGCTTATAAATTTGTTATTGGAAAACTTCGATAATTGATATTTAAGTTAGCGGCACTAATACTTAATCTTCAGAAAATTATTTAAATAATAAGCTCTAACCCTATCATTAGCCAATCATGAATTAGCCTTTATAAAAAATTCTTAATTCATTTTTTAATAATAAAGATTGATTGTTATTTGTATTCATTATGAATAATGGTTTCAGAATCATACCAATTAAATTTACCAAAAGAATAACAAGCTAATCATTATGTAAATTAATTACTGATTTTATATGAAAGGTAATTACTAATTATATTCAATTAAAGAGTGATAAAGTTTGGTATTAAAGATCTATTTTGGTTTTGAGTATTTTGAAATTTTCAAATTAAAAACTAAAATTTCTATATTAACTAATACAACAAGAAAGAAAATAGACCCATGAATAAATACTAAGGAAATAGTGAAAGAGTTGAAAGGGGCAGTAATTATCGACTATTAAATTCTAACACTTTTAGTTTTACCAGAATTGAAGTATCAAATTCATTTGCTTTGGTTTTAACATTTAAGAAATTTCTGCTTTATTATCTAAATTATTAGAAGGTGGAAATTACACTTATTTTTTTTTGAGCATAGTACCAAACCTGTGGTATTGGTATATCTTTAGATGAGTTTCCTAATTTTGGTGTTATTCATTAATAAAAGATTTTATTTATTAGTTGTATAATTTATTGGCTGCTGATATCTCTTGTTTTCATTATCAATTATCTTGTGCTACCAGAATCATATTCTGCTAGAACAACAAAAACAGATGGCAATACATGCACAATATCTAGAGTTCGATTCGCCCTTCTTTGAAAAATAAAGCAAAACTTTGCTTACAATTGCAATCCTAATTCTATAATGTGAAAACAACTTGTGGATTATGTGAAGATGATTATGCAGGAGCATATTGATTGTCAATTTGTGATGCACCCTGCAGCAAATCTCCAACACTAGTTTATCTGAGCAAGCAGCACAAGTATTCTCACTAAATGCACTATTTAAAGAACAACCTCCGAGTCAAAATAAGCTACCATTAAGCACATTAGCTACAAATAAGTTACTATTGTGGCAATATGTGAACTTAATGAGAACAACGAAAAGTGTACTAAAGGTAGAGTTAAATCTGAAAGACTTGTTCACGCCATACGAGAACTAAATTAATTAGACTATTTGATTAAAAAGCTAGCCATTATGTTGGACATTAATGATATTCATTATCAAGATGAGCAGAGGGACTGAAACTGCTTTAGAAATAGTTTGACACTATCCTGATATGCATATAAGTGTAAGTTGTAAAATAAATGTTTTTGTACGCGTGACTATGGTTAAAAGTATGAATCTCGAAGATCTTGATGATCAGGTTAACACGTCCCCCCTTATAAATTGCATCGGATAGAAGCCAATTAAGATTATTACAAATTGGGGTGTGAAATACTTAGTAGAGAGGTTTAAATAGGTATGAATAAGTCAAACAATTTGGTAACAAAGATCTACAAATATTGAAATAAGCTTTGTTGCACAAGAAATATATAAATAAACTGAATGAGTTTACTGATATTTGAAGCAAACGCAGGTTTATTGTGTGCGGATTAACTAAAAAAAGTTGAATAAGATTATTAGCATATATTTAAATTCAATTAAAAGCTGTATTGATTTAAGAAGAAAGGAAATGATAGGGTGTACATTAAGAACGCTTAAAAGGCAAATCTCTAGACAATTCCACTTTTAAAAGTTTCTCAATTACTAAGGAAAGAAGAAGAAATTTATAGGGTCCAGTATAAGACTTAATTTATGGGTGATTACAAATCAAATAACTTCCAAATCACTTCTTGCAAGAACAAATCAAATAATAAAAGTTACATAGTTTGTCAAGCAGAATAACTATGTAGACTGAATCCAAGCATAAATTATTAGATGTACCATGATTTACAACAAAATCCAAATTAAAAAGTTGAAATTATTAATGAGAGAAATAACAGATTATTTAATCACATGCATACATAAAATACCAATAAA